TTAAGAATTTACACGAAATAGCTTCCCTCTGAGAATTATTATTATCCTCGTATGTTGTTCTATTCATTTAATCCATTAAGGACCAAGTAGTGCGTGAAACTTGTTTATAAATTGTGATAGGTAGGCCATAATTTTCCAGTTTCTTGAAATTTCGTAAAACGATACGATCTAGGATAAGAGACAATGATCAAAAAATACGAAGCGAGTCTTTTATTTCATGTCGTCACGATGAAACGTTGCGTTGATTCAACGTGTTTTCCACGCTCTTGATCGGACGAAGCGTTTTCTGGCGTTAAAAATAGTTGGGGTATTGTCGACGATTAAGTAATAGGTCAATGACTCGTTCTCGTCAATCGACGATCGGTTCTCTAGACGGTTGTTTCTTTTCCTGCGACTTGGTTCTGAGTCTCCGTTTTCCAAGTATTTTCATAACGGAGCCGCCTTCTCGCAAATGGCATCCTCACGTTCTCCATTGCTCGCGCTGGTGTTCATGGCTATTACTTTTACACGGTTCATAGAGCTCCGGTTCTTTATTTTCGTTCTCTTCAGTGTCTTATTTCGCTCTCGTTACGGAGAACGCGGCCAACTTTAAGGCTGTATCCGCTAAAAGGTTCCTCTCGATTATTTATCCGCGTCGTTAATTATTCAGTGGTCGCCGGCGCGCTTGACAACTTTATTCGCATTGACTGCATGTTCTCCTCCTCACCGGCGAGACACAGTTTCCTCCTGAAACGATCGTCGAACGTCGATTTTTTTCTTTTCTTCCGCCGTGGCATACAACGAACCGAGCACTTTTTATGGCCCGGTTGTTCTTTCAGGTGTCATCTTGGTTCGTTCTCGTGCAAATACCAGAAGCTCCGAACGTATTACAGGAACGACGCGGGGGCGTCTCGTTGCCAAGGAGCAGATAATGGGTCTGAATAAGAAACTCCAATGAGCTAGGCGGAAATGGAAAAGAGGAGCAAGGAAACAGAGAGAGAGAGAGAGAGAGAGAGAGAGAGAGAGAGAGAGAGGAGATCCGCGAGGTCGGACCTAGAGAGGAAGGGAAACGACGAGAGGAGAGAAGGAAAGAGAGAAAAAGGGGAACGTCCAGTTTCTCTCGATATATTCGTAGTCACGAGTTGACGGCACGACAAATTGGCTGAGCGTGTTCGTGAAATGCTGGCTGTATTATGCGAAATCCACGGGAGAACTCGCAGACTCTCGCTATACATTATAGAACTTGCCGCCTCTTTCGCTCTCTCTCTCTCTCTCTTTCTTTCTGCTTTTTTCTTCTCCACCTTCACCTCCATTCTTCTTCTTCTTCTTCTTCTTCTTCTTCTTCTTCTTCTTCTACTGCGTTGTTAGCCAAGGATTTCCTGAAACGAGTTCCCCTCGCGGTATATATATTGTGTCGTTCCGCGAGCAACGTTTCACCCCTTTCGCCAGCGAAAAGCTGCCGGCTGCGTTCGCTCATTATTCAACGGTTCAAGTCGATTTGAATTCACCTCTCGAGACTCGCTCGGTAATTGGCCTCTCGTTATACGCGAACGTCTCCATCGAAAGTATCTTCGAACGCGCCGTTGAACTGGCGCGCGCTTGCGATTTGTGGAAAATCTTGTCGATCCACTTCGTCGATTCGTTCATCGTCTAATCCGGTAGCAGGTCCACGCGACAGACCAAGCGATCTTCGACGCCGATGATATTCGATCTGTAATTTATCCGACCCACGGTCGACCACTTCCTTCATCCGCGCACGCGACACGAGGCGCCTACGCGACTCGCGGTCGCCACGATATCGCGAACTCACGTTGGAAGGATTTCCTCGCTGCACAAACGAGAAGTGGACATTTTGCTCGATGAGCAAATGTGTACATTGTCGCTCGATATTTGAGAAAAATAGGCCGCCTCTTTCGTATTTCGCGTGGGACTGGTGGAAAAGTCGGTCGGTCTTACAGCGAGCAGGTTCAGATCACGACTTGGCTGACTGTTTACCGGATTGTCAGGTTAGCTCAGAGTAGAGAGTGTACATGTACGCTGACTGTAATTTAGTTCGTCTGGAGGTTAGAACACGTTGGAACTTGGTGTCAGTGGTTCGTGCAACGTTACTCTCGAAAAACCTGTTTTTAAATACCAGCGGATTGAGAATTAATGTAAGATGCAAATGTTACATAACGGTCTGAGCCAATCCAGTCACGTTTCGTTGTGATTTAAAATTCACCGAGTCTCTTTCTCTCTTTCCAAAATTTATCATTTCGTTTGTTTAATTTTATTTCCTCTGTCACCCTCCACCCCCCTTTTTTTTTAAACGTTTGCGGAACGTTCGAGCCAATTGGTTTTCACGACGCGTAACCGGCTGTTTGCTTCCCGTGGACGTTTCGTCACGGATCGAGCTGTACCACATTGTATACTTCGGACTTTTGCACGGTGTAATTCCTCGCGTCGTTTAGAAACGTAGCGACCTGTATCTCCAGGGACAAAGAACGCTTTATCTTGGCTCGGCAACGACATGTCGGAATGCCTCCAAGGGCGTGCGATAAACGAAACTTCATTGTGTGCTGGAATTCGTAGGTGTAATAATAGGTGATTCGAAGTGGGACCTTGAGACAGCTCCTCCTCTCTCGATAACGTACGTGCAAGTTGTTCTTTTGATCCAGTTATCTCGAATCCCGCAAGTTTTTTCCCAATCTCGATTATTCTTCCAGATCTCCAGGTCTCTCCAAGATTTTTTTCGTGTCTCTTTCTTTATTTGTTCTATCGACGATCAAAAGTACGAAATGACTAGGATCAGATGAGAAAAATGCAGAAGGAAAAGATTTAATCCTGAGGCTGTTCTCACGAGGTGTATTTAATAGATGTTATAAAGTAATATCGTCATAGAAGACGACAATAATTTCTGCTAGATTATTGAAATTTAGAGTATTTGATGTCATACTGTATTTTACACCCTCCGTGATGGAGAAATTAATTTGGTTCCGAATGGCCAGTTAAGAGTCCACCGATTTTTCCCTTTACCAGCAATTTCTTGTTCATACGATAGAAGAATCAACTTTCTAAGCTTTAATCAGGCATCGACTTAGATTCTGGTTCGAACAAAGTTCATAGAAACGGAGTTCAACTGCGATATCTATCACAAGGTCTTCCACCTTTTCTCACGAGTTCGAAAATATTTCAAGAGAGAGAGAGAGAGAAAAAAAAAGAAAGATATCAGAACAGACGCAAACTCCGAAAAGGAGAAGAGAAAAAGAGATCAGGGTTGAGGGAAGCGTGGATGATGGATCTTCACGTGACCATGATCCGTCAGGGGCGGCTGCTATTTTTCTCAGCGCGCAGTATTTTGCGCCCGAGGCGGCGGGGGCTGTTTTACCTGTATCAGTCCCGTGTAATAAATATCGGGGAAGAAGGGCGAGGACGAGGGACGGGGTGGGTAGACAGGTGGGAAGAGGCCGCGCACCTTACCTACCTGCCAGCAGTGTCTGGTCTGCGATTTGCGTAAACACGCTTTAATTTATGGAGGTTTCGCTCTGCGTGAGCCGACCGCACCGCCCTCGCAATTTACGCGAGAACCCCTACGCGCCTTTAAGATTAACCTCTCTCTCTTTCTCTCTTTCATTCTCTTTCGCCCCTATCTTCCATTTTTATTTTGACAACCCCTAGTTGCGGCATGTTTTATATTTCTTCTCTGGGGGAGTTCGCCACGCTTTTAACCGGAGGGGTTGGCTCTGTAGTAAAATCGACGCGATGATGGAACGACGATCGGATCGCACGTAACTCTGGTGTTCCGGCCCGCGATAACGACCGTCCCGCATGTAATTCGTTCGTTAAAAAGTCTCGTGTCTCGAACGCCCGAGGACGTGAAGAGGGGGAAGGCGGCGTCCCTCCCTCGGTTACGTGCAAACTCGATTTAGGTCTTTATCTTCTCTCTCTCTCTCTCTCTCTCTCTCT